TTTCCTGCATTTTCAAAAGTTTTGTCTGGGTGTTTTTTTTTTTTTGTTTTTTTTTTTTTGTAGGAATGTTTATAGCCTTTCCTCTTCTCTCCATATTCTTGTCCCTCAAGTAAAAATATTTAAAACATATATTCTATATGCATTTAATAAGCAACATATTTCATAGAATCATAGAATCGTCTAGGTTGGAAGAGACCCTTGGGATCATCGAGTCCAACCATCTATCCTACTCTACAAAGTCCTCCCCTACCCCATGTCCCTTAGCACTGCATCTAAACGGCCCTTAAACACAGCCAGGGATGGTGACTCCATCACCTCCCTGGGCAGCCTATTCCAATGCCCTATCACTCTTCTCTTCTTTGTATTTTTCCCTTTTAATACAACAGCAGAACTACTTCTGGGCTCTTAAAGATGGTTGCATGGTTGTCTAATATTACAGTGTATGTTGATGTTTTTCATTTTAATAGTTCTGCACTCCTTGAAAAGATCTGATGATGAGAAAAATACAGAGAGTTGCCACCTGGCATACAATAAATGCATATTTAGCTCTATACATTTAGCATGGATCATGCCATTCTCTATAACCTCAGAACCTGTCCTTTGTCGTCTTTTTCCATTGCATATTTAGGATTCCCCCTGATATTCACTTGATCTGCTTAATTTTAATACCACCTGGTGTGTGCCAACAGGCACTTCAAGTAACTGGAGTTCACCAGTTCCTAATTGGGCGAGCAAAAGTTCTCATGTCTCACTAGAGCCTTGGACCACCAGTGGCTGAACTTTTATATTTTTCTTCTGCACCATTATTCTTGGACACGTATAACAAATATTCTGTATTTTTGTTATCCACAGATGGTTGCTAATGATTGTCAAGACCCTCCAGAGTACTGGACAATCCATGGACTGTGGTATGATCACAGAATGTTTTTATTTCAGCCTGGAAAGGAAAAATCAAGTTTTGTACCAGGATGTTTAGTGCTTCTTTTTTTTTTTTGAGGGCTTTGTCTATCTGTTTTTATAATTCTTTGAAACAAGTGTCTTTATTTTTTTGGAAATAAAAACCCTATGGTTTGATATAAATCTGAAAAATATACTTCTTATCTTATGACTCACTAAGCTCCTGAAATCCTCTTGCCACATAAGCATTGTATTTACACATCTCTTTGTAAAATAAGTGGTGTTCTCAAACAAAAAGGGAAGTATAGTTCCCCCCCCCTTTTTTTTTTAACCTCACTTTCTGAGGATACAGAATTTGTTAATGTCTTGTGACTGCTTGGGGTTTTAAGTACCTTAACTTAGCACAAATATTGCAAAAGTACAGGAAAAACTCATTTACTTAAAAAGGAATCAACTCACTGGAACTGGTGCCAATGGCTGCAATCCAGAGGTTTTCCTGACAAATACAGGGAAATAATTCAGAACAGGAGTTTAAGCTGTGTGGCCTGGAAAGGTGAACAGCTTTGTGTCTGGATTTCCAGTTAGTGTCTTGGTGATGCTTGCAGAATCATCGCTTGGTGCGGTGGTTGAGGTCAGTGTCATTAGTGACATCATGTGCAAGACCTTTCCGTATAATTTACTCCCCCTGTATGTCTTTACACAGAGTGAGAGGGGCTGGAGGGCCTAATGAACAGCCTCTTCATGGGAAATGTTTTGGCTATAATTAACATCTTGAATTTTTACTTATAAAATACTGTTGTTGCTGTTGGGTCACTTTTTAAATAAAATCTCTAGCTTTAATCTTGCATATTTAAAATTCAGGCTGCTGGTATAGAATAAATGCTATTAGTTACCATTAGTGAGTTAGGAGACATCTTTTTCTCACTTTCCCTTTGCTTCCCTAGGCCTGACAAAAGTGAAGAGTGCAATAGGACGTGGCATTTCAATGTCACCGAGATTAAGGTATTTACTTTTGCACATGCTATATGCAAAATTTGTAGTTTGTAACATATCAATCTTAATGTTTGCTCAGAGGTGTGTTCTTTTAAGGACTCCAGAAATTCATTAGGTGCCTCTGGTGCTGCTAATTGAAGTTGCAGTGCTTGTGATCACTAGCAGCTGTTCCTGCTTGATTTTGGAGACATGCAATTTGCCTTGCTCAGCCACACCCTTCTTAAAAATAACAATAATCTGGACAACATAGGCAGTGGGTCAGTGGCAAAAAGTATCTGCGAAAAAGAGGTTATGGTCAGTCCGTGCTCTTTCTTCTATTTTCTATTGCGAAGACAGAATAGAGAAATTAAGAATTCAGAGTACATTTTTCTATGTGTTTCCTTCCAGGGAATTAGTCCATTTTAATTCTTTTTTTAATTTAAAAAAATGAATCATATTTTGTTCAGATGGGAAGAGGAGGCTTGAGCCAACAAATGCGAAAAGCTGCATGACTGAACAACTTCTGCAGGGACAGCTGAAGGAAAGTTTTGCTTTGAGGCAAACATACTAATATTTGTACATCTAGTATATTATTAGTATATTCATTTATGTAGGTAGTCGCACCTACCTGTTGCCTCCAACAACAATATTTTCAGAATATTGGGGGGAAAAGTCCTTTTCTTGTGAGTAAATGTTTCAGTTGAGGATGTTGAAAGATGAGACTTCAGTTTTAGAAAATCTATCAATGTATGTAGATTGTGTAAGAAACAGCTTTTCAACACTAAGTACATTTATGAATTGTAATATTTCTAGGATCTTCTATCAGACATGAGACACTATTGGCCTGATGTGCTTCATTCATCTCTGAATCGCACCCAGTTCTGGTGAGTACAAAATAAATCTAAAAAGTATTTTGGACATTATTTTATTTAAAAAAAAAAAATCTGTCTGTTAGTAATTCTTAAGGTGAGACGTTGTGCATGAGAAGCAGTGTCCAGGAGGCCAACAAAAGCAGTGCGTCTCATTTACAAAATAAATCTGGTTTCTTGTCGGAGCACCTGCAAAATGCAGCTGCTGAAGACAAGGGCTATGGCAGAGCTTTTCACTGAATTTCACTGAATTTCACTGAATTTCTAGAGTTGGAAGGGACCATAGAGATCATCTAGTCCAACTCCCCTGCTGAAGCAGGATTGCCTAGAGCTAGAGCATGTTACTCAGGACTGCATCCAGGCGGGTTTTGAAAATCTCCAAAGAAGGGGACTCCACAACCTCCCTGGGCAGCCTGTTCCAGGGTTCCGTCACCCTCACCGTGAAGAAGTTTCTCCTCATATTTGAGTGGAACCTCTTATGTTCCAACTTGTGCCCGTTGCCCCTCGTCCTCTCGGTGGGAACCACTGAAAAGAGTCTGGCTCCCTCCTCCTTCAACCCTCCCTTGAGATACTTGTAGGCGTTGATAAGGTCTCCCCTCAGCCTTCTCTTCTCCAGACTAAAGAGTCCCAGCTCTCTCAGTCTCTCCTCATAAGGGAGATGCTCCAATCCTTGAATCATCTTTGTAGCCCTACGCTGGACTCTTTCCAGTAGTTCCCTGTCCCTCTTGAACTGGGGAGCCCAGAACTGGACACAGTACTCCAGTTGTGGCCTCACCAGTGCAGAGTAGAGGGGGAGAATGACTTCCCTTGACCTGCTGGCTACACTCTTCCCTATACAACCCAAGATACCATTGGCCTTCCTGGCCGCAAGAGCACACTGTTTACTCATTGCCATTTTACTGTCCACCAGGACCCCTAGATCTTTCTCTTCAGTAGTTGCCTCTAGCGGGTCCACCCCTAACCTGTATTGGTGCCTGACATTCTTCTTCCCCAGGTGCAGGACCCTACACTTTTCCCTGTTGAACCTCATGAGGTTCTTCTTTGCCCAGCCCTCCAGCCTGTCCAAGTCTCGCTGGATGGCAGCACAGCCCTCCGGGGTGTCAGCCACTCCTCCCAGTTTGGTATCATCAGCAAACTTGCTGAGGATACACTCTGTCCCCTCGTCCAGGTCACTGATGAATATATTAAACAGCACGGGTCCAAGTATTGACCCCTGGGGGACTCCACTGGTTACAGGCTTCCAACTTGAACCTGCTCCATTAATAATTACCCTTTGGGTCCTGTCACACAGCCAGTTCTCAATCCACCTCACTGTCCCCTCATCCAGCCCATACTGCCTCAGTTTCCCAATGAGGATGTTATGGGAGACAGTGTCAAAAGCCTTGCTGAAGTCAAGGTAGATGCTCCACTTTTGGAGAAGTGAAACGTGGTGAGAGAGAGGGACTGTGTCTCCTCCCTTGGCCCGTAGGGAGGAGAAGCAGCAGCTGTTGGCACATGAAATGTGAATAGCAGTAGCACTCCTGGGATGTCACGGCCAGCTGCAAGAGCAGATTCCAGGCCTCTTTTCCCAGCTAGCTTCACTCTGTTGCTGGCTTTGAGAGACCTGTCCTTTTGGGCTTTCTCACAGAGGAGGAAATAGGAAAATAGGATGCTTGGGATCATCCTAGCCACTTCTTTACAGAATTCTCACTTTTTACTTACTCTCCTAGCTGCCTAAGATCAGATCTGGGAATTTATTCAGAGATGGACCTGCTTGGCTTATGGGAAGAGAGAAGGAGATTTTAATCTCTCCTGACAACAGCACTGATTTCCTTCTTCCCCATGTTTCTCTTTGTCCCTGAGTAACAGGACACTTGGACCAAAGAGTGGTACGGGTGCTATTTGAGTTTGCACAGGCTTCAGTTTGAGGGGATTATTTTAAACTAACATCAGTGGCCATTCAAGTTAATTTGTTGAGCCATGAGCTGCGCTGGCCAACATATGGATATGCAATTTGTTCCTCCAGACCTACAGTGAAAGCAGTGACATCAGATAAGAAGCAGAGCACAGAGCTAAAGGCAGTAGCATTTAAAGCTATCTCAACTATAAGTGCCTATAAGTTTTTCCTTCAGGTTCCATGACTGTTTCCTCCATGTATCAGTAGGAAAAAGCTTCAAAAGGAACATACATCTCTCTTGTCCTTGCTTTACAGAAGGCAGTTGTCCTCAGAGCCTTAAACTGGTTCCACGAGTGTCTTTATGGCAACCTAAACTTGTAACTGTCAAAAGTGATGGTGTCACTTTTTCTGCCCTCCGTTCCCCTGTTCTTGCACTGTGCCAGGGAGAGTGTGATTGCTTCTTTCTGTAGTGGCACAGGTTTATGCCACCTTAAACTGGTCCTGGAATAAGAGTAAGAAAAACTTGTCTTAAATCTGTCACCTCCATGCCCTGACCACACGCCTGTTCATAAAGACAGGTGCATACCGGTCCTTATTTTCCTAACAGAGATATTTTGGTGGGCAGCAGGTATGAACAGATACAATCAAAAACTTTTCCCTTTCAGTTCAAGGCTAGCAAATAGCACTTATTTCAATACCTGGAAATATAATCAGAAATACCATCAAAGCAATACAAAGATCAGGTTATAACACTGTAACTAATATTGTGATTGACAGATTGATTCAGTCCTTTTCAGTAGGGTGACAAGTGCGCTGTAATTGGCAGCTCTAATTGCAGATTTTGTAAATGCAAGCTTTTAAGCCAAGTGAAAGCCAGTAAGATCCTGTTGTACAGCTCATTTCAGTTAAAATACTGTAGTTACTTCAAAATTAAAAAAAAAAACAAAAAAAACTAAAAAAACCCAAACAACTCTATAGAGTAAAAATCCCAATACAGCAGAGAGAATCTGAAAGTAAAACTGGCTATTTGCAGTTGTCATTGTTGTAGACTAAAGGCATCTTAATTGCATAAAGAGCGTGAGCAGTGAGAAGCAAGATAGCTATTGTATATCTTACCATATCACATCAGTTCCATTGTTGTAGGCTAAAGACATCTTAATTGCATAAAGAGTGTGAGCAGTGACAAGCAAGATAGCTATTGTATATCTTACCATATCACATCAGAGCTTTTCCACGACTGCAGTAATTGTGTACGATGTTTCTTCCTGGCTTTACCTCTAACTGTGGCCCTGCCTTAAAAGGGGAGGTAAGGAATCTTCCAGGCAATTGTAGGATGGCTGCAGGTGCTTCTGTAAAGGTAGTTGCACATCTCTGTTCACCTGAACTTATGAACTAATAATTGATTCTCAAGAGTTTGAATTGGACAGGATAGAATGCCTTAATACAGAACAAAGGGGTATTTGTCTCTGTTCACCTTAACTAATGAACTAATAATTCATAGAATCATAGAATGGTTTGGGTTGGAAGGGACCTTTTGTACTTTGTATCTGAAAATTTATTAACTGACACCATCCCTTTTATAGTAGTTAATTTTTTGGACCTAATAAAAATTTCTAGTCCAAGAGAATTCCCTTCAGGATCAGTCTTTATGCATGATACAGAATAAGGAATCAGTGTTTAGGTGATTAGGTATCCCTAACCTTCTCTATTGTGGGCAGCACTTGCAGCTGTGCTTTACAGACCTTCTTTGTTCCTATCCTAATGATGAGCCAGTCCTCCAGCTGGGTGGTCTCTCTAATCCTTATATGCGTGATACAGAATAAGGAATCAGTGTTTAGATGATAGGTATCCCTAACCTTCTCTATTTTGTGGGCAGCACTTGCAGCTGTGCTTTACAGACCTTCTTTGTTCCTATCCTAATGATGAGCCAGTCCTCCAGCTGGGTGGTCTCTCTAATCCTTGGACCCACCTGATATGCTTCTGACTTTGTCACACACATCTGTGTGACTTTGGGCTTGGGGGAACTCTGTCCTTGATGTATATAACATGAAGCAAAATCTCTTTGAGGTTGTTTCTTTCCCACACTTCTGAGTTGTACTGATTTCATTCCTTTGCATTTGATTCTCAAGAGTTTGAGTTGGACAGGGTGGAATGCCTTAATACAGAACAAAGGGGTATTTGTACTTTGTATCTGAAAACTTATTAACTGACACCATCCCTTTTATAGTAGTTAATTTTTTGGACCTAATAAAAATTTCTAGTCCAAGAGAATTCCCTTCAGGATCAGTCTATATGCGTGATACAGAATAAGGAATCAGTGTTTAGATGATAGGTATCCCTAACCTTCTCTATTTTGTGGGCAGCACTTGCAGCTGTGCTTTACAGACCTTCTTTGTTCCTATCCTAACGATGAGCCAGTCCTCCAGCTGGGTGATCTCTCGAATCCTTGGACCCACCTGATATGCTCCTGACTTTGTCACACACTTGGGCTTGGGGGAACTCTGTCCTTGATGTATATAACATGAAGCAAAATCTCTTTGAGGTTGTTTCTTTCCCACACTTCTGAGTTGTACTGATTTCATTCCTTTGCATTTCCGCAGCCCCCTAAGACTTCATTTGTAGGACTTAGCTTTGAGGTAGCATTTATTTTTAGCAGTTTTTATATTTTATGTAAATAAATATGTTTTAGGAGCACCATAGAGAAAATGGCGGAGAAGTGCAAGTTATATAGCAGGGACCAGTCTAGTTCTGTAAGCCCTGCTCCTCTGTACCTGCCAAAGTACTTGTGTCCTACAAGGAGGAAAAAGATGTTCAGCAAAGTTGTTGGCAGCTGGCTGCTGCCTCCTCATGGGTACAAGAGGTTCAGAAGGATGGATGGCCTTCATGAATACAGGTAGCTATGTTTTGTGTCCACATGCCTCCCAGCTGTGAGCTGAGGCTCAAGTAGAATTACTTTGTCTTATCGTGGTCTGGGTGAAGGTTAATGTGTCTTAGTGAATAACATTGAGACATCAATTCTTTTGATTTCTAAACAAATTGCTTTATATTATTCTCTGGTACCTGCAGGTTCTTCATTTCCTAGCTGCTTCAGTTTGCATTTAAATGGAACAGGTGAAGGTGAAACTTCATGTGCCTGTGCTGAATGATGTGATTTGTGCAAACTGGACTAAAAACACTCCAGTAGCAGATCCATGTTAGCAATGATGCACGTCCTGCGCACCATCAGATATTTGGCCCTTCATTTCTGCCTTCTTTCTGGAAACAGGAGGACACTTAAATTCAAGTGCTACTGAAAGCCTTCAAAAGGCAGGCACAAGACTTTACTGTTAGTTTTACCCACGTGTATGCATATATTTGCTGAAGAAAAATTGTCATCCTACATACGATGCCTTGCTTCCAGCTTACTGCTGTTCCAGTAGCACTTTGGATTTGACTATTGTCTGCTTCTGGTCCAAGCTAAATGCTTAACATCTCTTGCTAAATTTACCCCTAAAAGAGCCTCCATTTTCTTTAAATTTTTCTCCTCCAGCAAGTAAACAATTCACTTGACATGTAGCTGAGCGTTTTTGCCAAGATGAGAACTCTCTATAAGGCTAAATTTGAGAATATATTGTGAAAAACCTTCTAGTGATGCATCTTGTCCCCGGCCTCACATCTCTTGATGCTGCAGCTGCTTGTGGCACAGAGTTCTCTATTCAGAAGTAGTGTATGAATTTCTCTAGATATAAACAGTTTCTTTTTACTTACAGAATTAAAACACTTTAAATTTGAAGTTTTTAATATGAATGGACTATTCAAAGGCAGGCTTTCATAGTTGTCCTTGTTCTTCTCTGCATTTATATGAGGTACTTAAGGCATCATAAGGTCAGGGAATTCTGTGGTGGCGGCATGAGTTTGTGATTAGATAACTTTTTGTGTACATTGCCTGCATTGATACCTATTTAATGCAAGTAGCTCATGAAAATTTGAAAAGAAAGAAGAAAAAAAGACACAACGCGCCCAAAATGACAGGTGGTCTTATTAAAGATTATACTGGTTAGTCTTTCAATATACTTTAGAATTTATAGAAATATATTTTGGACTTTGCCCCATTTTTTGTCCTATTTGAGTTAGTCTGACATAAAATTGCAGGATTGCTTTCTGTTACACTCTGTTCCTTGGTATTAGAAGACTTGATGGTGGAAACAGAAGCAAGGCTTGAGCAGACCTATGAAAGTACTGCCACAGGCCAAAGTAAAAGTTGAGGCAAGAGTCTTGTCTTCACAACTGTGTAGTTTCACTGTTCCACCCAAAATAAGGATTAGTCTCTTCTGAAAAGTTTTTAGTGCTTTGAAAGTACATTTAACATAAAGACTCCACTAAAACTTACACAAAGCTTTAAAATATTCGTTTTCTAGGGAAATTCTACAGCTCTTTCATTAATTTGAAAAGTCTTCTCTTGCAGCTGCGGATGTTAATGCCAGCTCATTTATATATTTTAACATGACTTATAGTCTGAAAGAATTTTTCTTAGTCTCTTGTTACAAACCATAATGAGGCACTTCTTGGCCTTCTTCCTTACTCTCCTGATAGGTCCAAAATCTCTTGGTAAATAATTCTACTAAAAAAAATGTAGATGTTGCTGTAACTGAAATGGTGTGAGAGTGATCTTCCTTGGTTCTGCTTTTTGCATGTGCAGTAGTTTTTGAGTGCAATGTCCTACTTCGCATATGTAGCCTTTCAGATGCTTGATTTAAGTATATTGCCTAGCTTGTTCAGCACATATATCTGCAAATAATGTTTTTTAAAACTTAAATTTTGCTTTCCTCCTACAGGAAACATGAGTGGGATAAACATGGTACTTGTGCAGCCACGCTTCAGGTCCTTAATTCTCAGAAGAAATACTTTGGTAAAGCCTTAGAACTCTACAAGACTATTGATCTTAACAGGTACATAAATGAACTTGGTGCTCTGCCTCTTATTTCAAACAATTTCTAAAAGTTTCAAATCTAGCCTAAAAAAAAAGTCTAAAAGTCCGATGGCAGACAGTAAATGAGTATTAGCATAAATTATTTTTAGTACTGGAGTTCAGAGGAAGGGTTGTTTACTTTGAGGAGTACACCTCTGGTCACTTCAAAGTCTGGTAAGCCATCAGCTTCTTGGCAGCATTATTTTAGACAATGTGAGCCAGTAAATTTTGAGAGGCAATGTCAGCTGTATGTCACTACCAAAAGCTATGGTGCAAATGAGGTTCTAAATCAAGTGACAAAAGCCCCCAAACTTCTGAGTTTAGAGAAGGTGCTCTGCTTAGAGGAAAGGACAAGCTGCATGCAAAATTGTGCAGAACATCCTGGGAAAAGGCTGAGAGCAAGAGGAGGTGTCCCCAAGGCAGTGTTCAGTCACTGCAGGCAGCTCTCTGCTGTCCTTTCAAACAACCCGAATGTGACACTCTTGCTTTGTCACAGGGGCTCATGCTTTACCATGATTACCATGGATACCATGATTCCTCATCATGGTATCAACGCACTGGCCATTCCAGATGCAAAATCTTGATGGGAATATTGTGGCTTGTCCCAAGAGCTGTGTGTGCCCATTCTGGCTGCAGGTGGATGCCGGAAGGCCAGAGTTCTTTTCTGATCAGCACTTGGTATGGGTGGGAGAATGTTTGACTCGGATTTGTTGACCATGAATTGTCTGTCTGTATAAGATGACAGTATCTGAGAGGGAGTAAGTTCTTTTGTATCTAGAAGCATGCATTAAAAAGAAATAAATCAAAAAATCCCATTCATGTTCTGTCAGTGTCTTGTCCAGGCAATCTGTTAACAAAGTCTCATTGACTTTGCATATGCACAAAGGAAATATGTCTTTCTTCCCCCCTTGACATTTTTATAGGTGTCTTATAAAACTTAATCAGATTTTTCTAGACACAGTGCTTAAGAGCATGTCATACGTAGTGTTAAAATTAATAATGTCTGATAAGCCAATTACTGAAGTAGCTGTGATAGTGTGACTAAAACATTTTACAGATGGCACAGTGACCAATTATGTGACTCTGCATCAGCATGTGTAACACTGAAAAAGAATAGAGACTGAAACATGTTGAAATTAATTCATCGAGCATATTCTCCATTGTAAAAATGAACTTAATTAAATTAATCTTTACTGAAAAGAATAAAGACTGCTCATGTTCTCATTGTTACTTCATTTATACTTGGATGAGAAAAAGTAGTGTTAGTGATTAAAAGATTGTTTCCAAAAAGGAAATTATTAAAAAGAGGACATCATGCAGGTTCCTGTAAGAATGCCAGAACATCATCTATTTGATTTGCCTCTCTTACATTCGGTGTCAAATGACTACGACAGACAGGTGGACCTTTAGGCAATTAGGTTAAATCCCTGTGCAGAACCTGACCTTGGAAGGACTGACCGTTATCAGCACTCATGGATTAAACCCTGCAAGATGCTGAACGTTCCCACTCCTTATGGAAGAAGCTGGGACTTAGAGACTTGGCACCTGTTGGGTCTTGAGTCTTCTTGCCAACTTGGAATTGTGGTGGATTTCCCTCAGGACTGAATCTAAAGGAAGGGGTGTATATAGGCTAGAGTCTCTTGAGAGTTACCTTGTTTCTCTTATGTGAACAACCTTTCCTATTCAAAAGCAAATTCATTAGGAAATGTTTCTGCCCTGATGTTGATGTCGATCTGGATCCACGCACCATGTCCTTCTCCTGGTGTGTTATGCACGTCCAACCCCAGCAAGCCCACCCTGTGTTAGAACATGAGGGTGCCTAGAGCAGTCTCACAAGACTGGTTCCATCCCTTCCTGGTGGCTGGAGCACAGGGTGTGTAGATCAAGGCAGGGGAAAGGAGGCAGTTTAACTGCGTGCCCTACCTGGCGTTCAACAGAGCATTCTCAAGGTCCAGCAAATATCAGCAATGTTGCCATTCCCCTAGCTGTAACTGAAGGCTCAACTCTCCCAGCTCCTCGCATTAAGGTGGGGGAGATGGTTCTTCCTGACCCTGCTGAGTTGGATGGGAAGTGATCTTTCAGAAAAGGGGAGCCTTTCCTAGGCCTCACAGAGTATGGAAGACCAGTTTCCATTGCTCCCCATTGCTGTCATGCTTGCCAAGTTCTCACTGGGATTATCTGTTTGCCTAATGATTATGAAGTTATGTTTGCATATAGGAACCATGGAAAAATGTTTTGTCTTTGTTTCAGTTGTCTCCTGAAAGCTGGGATAAAGCCAAGCAGTTCTTATTACCAGGTAAGAGTCAATCTTTTATGAAACAAAATCATGTGCATTCACTCAGCAGGAGTTAAGTAATTTCTAGAGAATAAGTTTTTGTGAACTTAAGAAGTGTGGGAGCTGTTGGAAGATGTGCTAATGACATTTATTTATATAAGCTTTTTAATTTTTCAGATGACTGCCATAAAGGAGGCTCTTACAAGATTTTATGGTGTAACACCAAAGATCCAATGTCTTCCTCCAGAAGAGGTAAAAATCCCAACGCACACAGAGTCCCCAAACACCCTAAAACCAAAAAAAAAAAACAAAACACCAACAACTTCTTTAAAAAAAAGTGCACTTTTTATCAAAAAACAAAAGCGAAAATAGAGTGAAAAATCTTTAGCATGGTGAAACTTAGATCTGGATGTTGTTTTTGTGTACAGCCCTTCGCAGATCAGATATTGCTTGATTCTGGGAGTGGAGTTCATAAAAACATTGCTTACATACTGTGGCACCACTGAGTTCAGCTTATGCTACTGTTGCCACAGCCTTTTCGTAACACAGAAATATTGTTAGTGGAGGAGGTGTCCATCTTTACCTAGTAGCTTTGCTGTTAGTATACATAACCAGAAAGTGGGGACACTAGTTTTTAAGGTTCCTTTGTCTTAAAAGATTTGAACCTGCATTTTTTGCGTGAATGCTCTAGTGACCATGCCTTCTTGCTGTAGCTGAATACTTTCCACTCTGCCTGCTAAAGCTTAATTGCCATATAGCAAATTACTAGAACCAGAGTGATCTGAATGGAGACAGTGACTGCCAGCCTTGAGAAGGGTGCTGCCTATCAACAGCAGCCTCCCCTTCGCTGGGCATGGCTCACGGTCTGCATGAAGAAGGTACTCAATGGACAGAATCCTTCGGTACCAAAGCAGCTCAGAGACTTATCTCTGAGGTTGTTCTCAAAAGCCCATACATAAAGACGTACAAAAAGGCATTTTGAGCATCACTGTGGTTCAGGATGACCATAGTCTTTCCTTTAGAGCCAATGCTGTCTAAAATTTCCATTTCTTTATATTTTTCCTTGCCAACGATCATACTGTGAATCACAATGCAGTAGAGAATGGGATACAGGGTGTGCTGTAGTGTAGAATACAGGTCACCATATCTGAACCAACAATACCTTTGAAGGAACAAAATAGTATTTTGAATAATTACATAGCTAAGGCTGCATAGCAGGTTTTTTTTTTCCTTTTTCAGCTAGGTTACTCTGCTTTTATTGGAAAAGAAAACTAAAAAATAAGCCTGCAAGATGGCTTTCCCTCTTATAAGTGGTTCCTTATTATCTCAGCTTGATAAAAGTAGTTACTACAAAACACTTGACAGAATTATTGCCCATACACAGACAACAGTTTTGTGAAAATTTGCCAAGATACAGTTGCTGTTGGAGTTCAGTAGCTTGTTGTGTTGTCAGCTCATTTGCTTTAGTAGTGCTCTGAGGTTTTTATACTCAGATGTTTCTTCACATCAAAAAGAATACTAGGTTACAATATTTTTAAATGTATTTTTAAGTTACTTTAAGCAGCAAAGGAATATGAGTTGAATGTGGGTTGCACGCTCGCCCACCTCTTGATATTGAAGAAATACAGAGCTAACACAAACTCCAGTTTCTAGCTCTGTTCACTGTAGTTATGCCATTGCTTTTAGAACAATTAGAATACTGTTCAAACTATGTGCAAGTCATTTACAGCTTGAGTCTCCTGTTTTTAACAGCTGAAGCTAATGGGCAATAGAAAGGGAAAAGTAGACCCCAGTTATTTAAAGATAGCCTTTTTCAGAGTTCCAGCCTTGTTGATGGAAGTGCATTATGGAAGTACTTCGGTGTTTAAAACGTGTTACACACTTGCTGTGTTCTTAAGTTTCTTAAGAAAAATAAAAACCAAACCAGAACCCCCAACAGTAAAAAAACTGAAACCAAAAAACTCCACACAAATGAAAAAAAACCCAAACCAGACCAAACCAACAACAAAACAAAACCCCACCACGGTTACTTTTGTCTTGTACATATATTTTCATCCTAATTAATGGTTTCAAAAGCAATTTTTTTCCGCATGCACTTTATCACACCTGAGCAGTTTGGGGGATTTTCCTATAATCTTCATCCCCACATGAAAGGCTTCCCTGCCTGCCTGCCTTATTCATGGCCAATATTTTTCTTCCTAGTTTGTCCAAAAATGGCATTTCTGCTACTTTTGACAGCTTGCTCCTCTATTCTTTTCAGTAAAAGCTATTATAAAACTATGTTTCTTTTCTCCTTTTTGGAGAATATTCTTTGCCTTAATTCCCATCCTGCTACAAAAGAGGTAGTGAAAGGTGGCTTTCAGCTCACACATGCCCTTCAATATTCACAGACTAAAGCCAGAACTCATCATTGAGGTGAACAGCTTCTGTGTACAGTGCAGATATGGCAAATGATAAAATAATCTGTGTCACAGCATTTCATAATGAGACTTACTAGTTAGGCAGATTCCCCAAATTGTTGGAATTGCAAGTTATTTCCTTGTCTGCTTGCTCTTTGAAGACAAATACGTACTATAATCTGTTCAGAGTGGATGCCTCTGGTTTGTGTCTACTTCACATTTTTCAAGTGGCAAATACAGAAATAAGCACTATTATATTCTCTAGCTAAGACAATGTATTTGAAGAATTGATGTATTTTTTCCTATCATGCTGATCCTCTCCTTTATGTTTCTAGGGTGAAAAAGCACAAACAATTGGTCAGATTGAATTCTGCTTCACCAAAGAACTGCAGCTGAGAAACTGCACGGCGCAGAAGGGTGAATCTGACCCATTGCAGGCTGACTTGAAGCTTGGAACTGAGGAATTGTCTGTCTGCAGTGATACTCTCCCAACCTATTATCCTTCACAGGTCCAAGGTCACAAATGAAGCCTTAAGAGTCTGAAAAACTTTTTAACAGCAATAAAAACCAAACCCTTAAACATTATTCCTTGGAAGGCAGTCTTGACTTAACGATGTTACAAAGGCCTGTCGGTATCATAGGCATGCTGTGAAGATTTCTGCTGGAAAACACATTTCTTTTGCTATTAGAGGAGAATGGTAATATCAGTTACACAGGCTGAAGTACTGAGTTGTGCCTCTGATACTGATGGGATCAGAATCTGATTTACAGCTTTGCCTGGACTTTTTTGGCTTGCTTATGGTTTGAATCAATGTTCAGAAGAGAACTGTGACTTCTTAGTTTCGCTTGCAGTTGAGTCTTCCACTTTAGCCACTTCTGGGTTTTGTCCATGAGTCAGGGAAATTAAATGTCTTGAAAGGATGTTTGTCTCTCTGAGATGAGATGACAATTTCTTGAGAAGAAAAAATGGAAAAGGAAAAGAACTTAGAGACCTGTCTGGAGGTCTTTTCCCAGACGTTAAGTTTGTGCTCCGGAAGTGCTGAGCAGAGGCCACATCCTCAGAGGCATTGAACCTTTCCTCACTCAGAGATCACGGCGGACCAAAGATGTCAACTTCTACATAACCTCTCAGGGAATCAAATAAGGTTTTGGCACGTCTGCCTAAAGGACCCAGGAAGACTGTATTTGTAGCCTTACCTGTTCTTTGATTGATTTTGCTACAGTTGCTCCATGCAGTCTTGAATTAAAAACAATCTTAGAACTAGCTTTCTAGTATAGGGAAATGTTAGGCCCTAGAAATATTTTCTTAATTTCTTGTTGTATTTGAACATTTAGCATTACCACACAAGTGCTGGCACTTTTAAATAAAAAAAAGATTGTTGTGTAATCACTTTGTTCCAAGACGCTGCTTTTTATAGGTAAAACTGTAAATAGTGCAGGATTTTCAGTGAAAAGTACAAATGTTAGCAGTGGTGCATCTCTATCCCATAATAATTAATAACTTGCCACAAAGTTGGACACTTCCACAGGAGACCAGATTTGGATGATGTCTTCTACACAGTGCTGTGTTGATGTAAGTGTCTCAAATTGTTTTTCGAAGAAAGACAATTATGGCTCAAGGAACCATCTGTTAGAAGAATATTATTGTGAAAACATGAAATGCGGTATTGGGAGCAAATTTGTTATGTCTTTTGGGGTTTCCCACTTAATCTCATTTTTGACTATCCCTGTTTCTCTACCACCTTTCATTTAAGGCTCTGTTACCTTGCTGTTCCAGTATGCTGTCATTCTTTCAGTCCTCTCTTTAGAAACTCAGGTATTTATTTAACAGCGACGAAATGAGTGTGGTCTGCACTCTGTTGTATCTGTATTTCAGTAGCATGAGGGCTTTGCTTTCAGAATTTGTCTTCCTTCCCAAGAGGGGGAATACACTAATGTAGAATAATACTATATTAGTATACCAATGGTAATCAGATCTAATGTTTTTATAGTAGCCATGGTATGTTCGGTTCATGTTGGACACAAGTAGAAGAATCACAATTCATTCCCCCATTTCTGCCATCATGTAAGTAAGAAAAAGTAGGGAGACTGAACTAAACTGCATGAAAAGACTAGAATGTTCTTGTGTTTTGTGGAATCTTCTTGATTAATATTCTCACTAATTCTTCTGACTAATATTTTTTCCTTTTAATTTCAAAAATTATCTTAGCCTAAAGAAAAAAAAAAAACATGTTGGGAAAAATGCATGTTTCTGCAAAGGAGGAGCCCAAGGCTCATGTACTTTCTAAAAACTCTCCAGCTCTTTCAAATAGTGCTTAGAAGGTGCATAAGTCTTGGGTGGACTAAAGAGAGTGCAAACAACTTAGAATTAACGTTAATTTACATTTCACATCATAAGGTGGTGGTTTTTGTTTTTTTTTAAAGAAGCAAGACTTGCCTTTTCCTCAAAATTATGCTATTTTTATAATGGTTTGGAATTTTTTTTTTGTCCTTTGGGGAAGTGTCTTGTTCTCCTTTTCCTGTCGAAGTTCTCAGTGTGCAGGGCCATGTCCTTGTTAAGCCAATCAGCAGCGAGGGAACTGGAAACAGAGGTTGGTAACTACCGTCTGACCATCCCACCAACATCTTAGTGCTTCTCAGTCATCATTGGTCATGAACACTGTCCTTAATTGGAGTGATAGACTTCTCAAAATCTGGCTATAAATATTGCCACCTTGGTTGAGTAGGTGCAGTTTAAAAAAATCCCATGAAATCCACAGCAACGTGCTGTACTGACAAATAAGAGATTGTTGGGTTTGCCTCCTATTCTGCACTTGTTTTAATTCCTTGGTCCTCTTCACAGTTAGAAGAAAAGCTCAAGCTTGGAAGCCATGGTGGCATTGGTTATTGCACAGACATGTGCTTAACGGAAGCTCAAATCAATAGCTTGATTGATGTGTTGGGTTTTTTTAATTGCAGTATAAATTGTATTTTCTTTTGTAATGCCAAATAATGCTTAGGGACACAAAATGCACAGTATGAGTTCTCTGCAATTCAAGTGTTGTGTGTTCAATTAAAGGACACTCACACAGTTAAGATCTACATGCATCTGGAGCAACAGTGTGTGCCAGTGGTGACCGTGAGAGCAGGGGAGGAGTGAGAAACACAAGTTTCACATCCTGAAGCACATCCTGACACAGAACAGAACACGGTCTGGGAACCGAAACTTGTCTTGGTAGCAGAGCACCTGTTACTGTGATGAGCTCAGTAGAAGGTAAAAGATATTTTTCTAAGTCCACGATTGGGCATTAGGAGGGGAGTGGGTTTGTGTCTCAGTGTAGGTGAGTTTCTCTGTAGCAGTAAAGGGATTCAGTTCGAGTGGGATTGGCTTACTGCATCATCTACGAGTCCGTGGTTTCTTCATACACCACAAAGTGTAACACATTAATTAAAGCAACAACTGCAAGTGTGTACTTCATAAGGAAGTGAGTGACACGGACACTAACAGCCTTCACAGTGTGAGGCTCAAAGGTAGAGCTTTGACTGCCCAAATGGGGGTCAGGAGATACAGGCAGGAGACAGAACCTGCAGCAGAGCAGGTAGTATGGCTTCCATGCCTTTTTTAGGCTCCTCTTCAACTGCAGGAGATGTGAGGGAGCCGATGTATTTTAAGACTTTGAGGAGAAAGTCTTTCAGAGAAATCTGAAATGAGAAAGCAAATGGAAGGAAGGGAAATAGCAAAGCCAGCAGCTTGCTAAAAAACAACCTGCAACTGAGGGAAAAATGACTGATGAATATTGAGGTTGGCTAAAAATAATCTCACGGACGTACTTGAGGTACTTCATTTGCCTTAACAAAACCACACCCACAGTATTACACATGAAATACTTTAATTTGCTATGATCAATTTATTAGTGGTAGCAATAAAATACTATGTGTGACTGCTGTTGCTTGGGTTTTGACAATCCCACCTGCCTAACTTCTAGGAAGATACAAATGTCTTTTAAAAGCTACTTAGTGATTTTTCTGCAGAGAAGTGCCAAGACGCTATACAGATTTAAGTGATACATTTAAGGGATGCTTTAAGGTCTATGTCTGGATCTGGGCAACCAGGAGAGCAGATGAATCAATTATAGCACCAGTTCAGACCAAAGATCACGTCCAGCCGTTTATGTTCTTTCCAGCAATGGTTCCCGGCCAGTGACCAGGCTTGGAAGTTGCTTTCCATCAGAACGTATATAATTTCAAGAGTTGGATTACCACAATTTAAATACAAGAGGTAAACAAAGGTATATTGGGAGCCATAAAAATTGCTTCAGTTCTGAAAAGTGTCACTTCCTTAAGTAAAATAAGATCTATCAGCTTTGAAGAGTCATCACAGCCTGGGGAAGATGGGGGCTGTATTCTTTTCTGCCTCATTAAATAAATTGACTAAATCCCAGCAGGGGGTTGTTCGTGCAGCCTCGGAGCTTTAAAACTCTAGTCAACTCCACAAAGGGCCTTTGTGTTTTTATACCCTTTGTCTGTGTGTGCTTTCATGCAAAGTGTGTGGGCATCCCTTGGCGTACGTGCGGGTTAGACGACGGGCTGGCTGTCCCCTTCCCAAGGACAGTCCCTCTTCCTAGAACATGGGCAGGTTCTTTTCTCTCTCTCGTTCTCTCACAGGAGCCCAGCTTCAGCCAAGTTTACAGGGGGAGGGAAATACAAGATTTGAAAAAGCAGTTTCTGCTCAGTTTCTTCGGGTGCATGTTGTGTTTAAGGCCTCGTCTGCCTGTCCCTGCCAGCAGCAGGCTGAGCTGCCACTGCCGACAGGAACAGGAGGTGGGAGAAGCAGAGGGGACTTCTCCTCATTGCTCCTCTCTTTAGTGGGGGCAGCGATGGTGTTGCCCAGCTGGTGGGCAAAGCTGTCTCTGCAGGTTGAAAGGGAGGTGGCACCAGCCCATCAGATGGGAAAAAGCGGCGGCAGAGCCACAGTGCCCAGGCACCACCTCAACACGCTGCAAGTCAGGTCCCAGGGATGGGGGCAGCCTGGGTACCCACAGCAGCAAAGCAGCAGGTTTTACAGTGGGGAAGGGAGATTTTCACAGGGGTGGGTTCTTGAATTTGGGCACCTCGGTTCTGGTGCGGTTGCACTTCAGGCAGCTGTGCTCTGTTTGGACCACAGAAGGTTAACAACGGTGCTGCTGCCACTGTTACCGGTGCCTGATGATGGTACTGATGATGCAAAGGGAAAATGCCAGGACTTTGCAAGTCACTTTTCCAGGAATGGAGCAATCGATGATGAGGACTGTTGTATTTATTCCAAATTCAGACTGTCTTGCTGCTCAAGCAGCTTCCTTCACAAAGCTCACTGCGTGCCTTCCCTTCCTGTGCCTAAGTGTTCCCTGCTCCACAAAGTTGCTGTAGATCACCTAGAGTTGATATAAATAATCAGTTTTAGAACAGGGGTTCAATTTTTGTGCTTTGGAGAATAAGAATGTTAGTACACAGGCTAAGTGAGACCTGATGTGGGAGAGGGGCAGATTATTTTATGGTTTTGGTCTGTGGTCTTCATTATTCCTTACCCCAAAGTACACTGGAGCATCACAGGTGGGTGAGGATGAGATACACCTCAAGAGCAGCCAGGCCCAACTGTGCCCATAGATCGGTGGTATGAATCCTATCAATATATTCAGCGTGAAAATCACAGCCCTGACACTCAGACACTGTGCTCAGTTTGAAGGACTGATGTTTCAGTAATCTTTTATAAAAAAGGAAGTAAAATTACCATATTTGATAAGAAAATTTTTTAGGCAGGTGATAGAAAATCCTCAAGCAACCTGAAGAATACCATAGTGCTGCCTGTAAGAATTACTTTTCTGATGACAGCCTCACTTACCAGAACAGGCTGTTTACTTAAGATTTTTCTATAACTCACACAATGGTTGTTTGCGTTAGAGACCCATGCTCTGCATGTAAATCAGAGAAGCTGAGCCAAAACAAAATTAGCAAGAACTAAAAACACAGCAGTTACCCTGTGCTAATTACAATCTCTATAAACAAGTGTGATGCATCCCAGCAGGTACCCGCTGTTAGAGCTCTTTCTTCTGCTTCGTATTGTTGAGTAAAACTCGACGCTCTCAGCTTTGGAGAGAGGCTTCTCTCTTTCCAAAGTGCTCAGCTGAGGGTGGAGAAGCCGTGCACGCTTCCAGCAGAGCCTGGAAGAGATGCTGCATCGCCTGAGTTCTGTCATTTTAGCACATCAGCTTTCCACGGATTCATCTTCTGTACCAAGATTTCACAGGTTAAATTGTGCTTGTGAAGGCTCAGAAGTCTAGATACTTGTGCTGTGGGCTCCCAGTGGGGCTTTCCACGGATCCATCTTCCTTACCAAGATTTCACAGGTTAAATTATGCTTGCGAAGGCAAC